GATCATGACCTGAGCCGAAGGCAGACGCTTAACGGCTGAGCCACCCAGGCGCCCCGATGTTACATATTTTTAACCCTCGGTTTCTTTGCTGTCGAACAGTGGCCACTGAAATCATGGTGACTGTGTCCGGTGTGGGTGCGGGGGTGGGGGCGCAGCAAATGACTGTGCCAGGCACTTCTTTGTGATCACAGCTTCTGGAAGAGAAGAACATCCTCACGGAGCAGCTGCAAGCCGAGACGGAGCTCTTCGCCGAGGCGGAGGAGATGAGGGCCAGGCTTGCCGCCAAGAAGCAAGAACTAGAGGAGATTCTCCATGACTTGGAATCCAGGGTCGAAGAAGAAGAAGAAAGAAACCAAATCCTCCAGAATGAAAAGAAGAAAATGCAAGCGCATATTCAGGTGGGTATGATAGTCTTTATTTCCGGTTATATTTTGGGCTTCCCAGGTGGTTCTGCTGCATAAGGTGAGTAGAAGCTGTGGCTTTGGATCGTGTCCAGGGACGAGCGACAGGAGTCAAGGTCCCAGGTCCGGCCCTTCACAGAGGACCATCGCTGCAAGTGCACGAGGAATAGATTGTCTTCCAGCACAGATCTGTTATTTTTACGTCCTGAGGTAGCGGCACACAGGGATTCAGAATAGGAACACGCTGGGACCTCATCTGTCCCGTGTTGTCATTAATCATGGCATTGCTCACTCCGTTCCCTAATAGGCCTCTGTCAGGTGGTGTGGTTCATGAGACGTGCTCGGCCCTGACCCAGGAGGTGGCCAGGAATCAGAATAAAACCCTCAGCCCTTCCTGGGCTGCCTTATCGGGATGTAGGCCGTCCTCTCGCCATACCTGCAGTTGAATGCCCAGACACACGGTGCAGACCGTGCTTCCCCGGCCCGCGCCCCGGGACGCACTGTCATCCTCTCCTGACCTCCCACATCCAACCTCCCGAATACGTTCCTGAGTGTCCGGGCGTCCCAATAGCCACCATCCCTTCATGGGTCCAGCACCGAACTTCCTTCCGGGTCTCTCCTTGAATTTTTTCTCACCCGGTAGCTTGTGTTAGCAAAGCGCAGGGAATTCAGGCATTTCTCAGACCCAGAAAAGATAGCACGTTACTTCCTTGGCAAACACGCCATGCAGTATCTCATCCGGAGACTTGCCATTGTTCAGCACAGACGCTTTCCAGCACACCTCCTAATAGGTGAGCAGAATATCCCCAAACCTGCAAAAAGTGCATGTTCACCTGGCGATTCTAGTTCTGGGACTTTATTCTAAGCGTAAATCGATGGGAACCATCTAATTACCTTCACAGTCGGGGATTGTTAAGCCATGGTAGGGTAGGACCATCCGGTTATAAGTAAGAAGAGGTGTGTTTTCGTGGCGATCCCTTAATGTGCTACTAAGGATGGTTGCAAAGCAGCGCACACCGAGTAAGACCCAACAAAAAACACATTTCTATAACATAAATTCGTGTGCGTGATTTTATATTGGAGTATACAGAGACCTAGAGTATTCACCGTCCGTCGAGCGCTCTCCTTAGGGGTGTTACCAGCAGTTTCGATTTTCTTTCTTCTTGAAGAGCATGTGCTGTCTCAGAAATAACATTTGATTCATGTGGGACAAGGACACCCAAAGTCCCCTCCAGTGTCCTCAGCCTTGATTTCAGTACCCTCACGTGAAATGCCTGCATTTCTATTTATTTGCCAGAGAGAGAGAGAGAGAGAGAGACCACAAGCAGGGGGAGCGGCAGGCAGAGGGAGAAGCAGACTCCCTGCTGAGCAAGGAGCCCGATGTGGGGCTCGATCCCAGGATCCTGGGATCATGACCTGAGCTCAAGGCAGACGTTTAACCGACTGAGCCCCCCAGGCGTCTTTTTTTATTTTTATTTTTTTTAAGATTTATTTAAGAGAGAGAGAACGAGTGGGAGGAGGGTCAGAGGGAGAGAGAAAATCTCCCCCAGAATCCATGCTGAGCGCAGAGCCCAACACAGAACTTGATCTCATGACCCCAAGACTGTGACCCGAGCCAAAATCGAGTCGGATGCCACCAAGGTGCCCCAAAATGCCTGCATTTGTTTAGTCTCTCTAGGAAAACCAAAATGTCCTCATAGAGCAGCAGACTTCACATTGTGTTTTGCTTTTCCAGGACATTCTATCTCGTTCTTTACTAGACTCTTTTTTAACTTCCCGTTTTTGGCACTGCAATCCGAATTTATCATCTCCTTCTGTGATGTGTAAATTCATTCAGACACATTCCAAAAGTAGGTGATTTTTTTTTTTTTTCCCTTTTTCCTCTATCCGAGGAAAGCAGATGTATCAGAAGTCAGGATCTCCCAGGGCCCATGGTCCCTGGGATAACTCAACCTCGTTGGTCCCTCTTCTGTCATTTTTCTGACCTGTGAGGCTTTGAGGAGCTTCTGATCTGTACCCTTTGCAACAAAACTACTGGAGCTGGTTTTGGTGTGATTTTGTTTTTAACATGAATTTCCTGATGACATCATCGATAAATGATTATTGTGGAAAACCTAGTGACCCCAGCACTCCTAGTCTCCTCCCTCTCATCCACCCCCGTTACTGCTGTTATGTTGCTTGCATAGATTTCTAAGCAGATTACATGGATTCACTTATTAATTGAAATTATAGGGGCACCTGGGTGGCTCAGTCAGTTAAGCATCCAACTCTTGATTTCGGCTCAGGTCATGATCTCAGGGTCGTGAGATTGAGCCCCCCCCATCCAGCTCTGTGCTCAGCGGGAGTCTGCTTGGGATGCTCTCTCCCCCCGACCCTCCCCCTGCTCGTTGTCGCTCTCAGATAAATCTTTAAAAAGAAAAGACCTTATACTGAACACACCGTTATATTCACTGCTTTTGTGAAGTTAGGAGTGTGCGGTGCAGGGGGGCACCTGACAGAAAGCAGAGTGTGGGAAACTGTAGGACAAAGGACCTGTTTCGTTTTGTTTCAAAAACAAACAGCGAGGGAGGGAGGGACGGACACACGCAGGCATCTCTAGAGGATTTTTAGTCATGGTGTGTGAACCTTACTTGGATTCTAGTGCCAACGAACAAATGTATTTTTAAGAGGTCTTTATGTTTTAGAGAGACAGCTGGAAGGTTTTACAGAAAAAATCCGAGGTTTGGGATTTGCTTCAAGATGACCCGGAGTTGGGGGTTGGGGGGAGCTGGGGGCACATGGGGGCGGGGGGAGAGCCCATGGGCCGCGTCTGTGCCGGGTTCCGCATGCTGCCGTGCGCTCCGGCGTGTCTTGGAGGCTTTTCGTAGTAACGTGTTCATCATTTTTACACGGGTCTCGTTCCAGAATCAACCAGGGTAAATTTCTGAAATGGGCCGTTCGTTGATCTGTATGTAGAACCCTGTTCGGTTGCGTCTGTTTACTACAGACAGCGAGGCAGGGTGGGAAATCGAAGTGTGTGTGTCCGTATCGGCTGTAGACCCTGGGATCCCACCCGCGTGGTGGTGGGCTCACGCCGTGACGCCTCAGGATGTCCTTTCCCTTTTGAAAACCAAAAATCGGTGTTTGATGTTAGCATGCGCACCTCCAGTGGTTAGCGCGGCAGGACGTTGTGCGGCCGGTGGGCGCTGACTGTGTTTTCTGCTTCCCAAGGACTTGGAAGAGCAACTGGACGAGGAGGAAGGCGCTCGCCAAAAACTCCAGCTGGAAAAGGTGACGGCAGAGGCTAAAATCAAGAAGATGGAAGAGGAGATCCTGCTTCTCGAGGACCAGAACTCCAAATTTATCAAAGTAAGAGAGTATTTCCGTTACAAAGTGGATGCGCTCACTGGAAGGGGCATCCGGCGGGAAATTCTCAAGAATTCGGGTTCATTTACGTACTTTTCTCTTCTAAGGCTCTACGTGTATAGATTTCTAAAGACAAGAACTGTTTAATTATTTAAATCCACCTCCAGACGTTTGATGTGCGCGTCTCGCATGCGCTGATCCCTGCTCGGTGACCAGGCCCCGTCCACACAGGCCCCGTCATCCCCTGCACCAGCCGCAGGGCTCCCCCTCTGCAGAGTGGTGGGACCTGCTGGGGGGTATGGGGGGGGGCACGAGCACCCGTTTTCTGAGCAAGACCAGGCCCCCGAGGGGGGATTTGGAAGGCCTTCTCCGAAGCAGTCGGTTCTTTGTCCTCAGGAAAAGAAGCTCATGGAAGACCGCATCGCGGAGTGCTCCTCTCAGCTGGCTGAGGAGGAAGAAAAGGCCAAAAACTTGGCCAAAATCAGGAATAAGCAGGAAGTGATGATCTCGGATCTAGAAGGTCAGTGTTTGGGGTTGGAGAAACGGAGGCCGGGCCCCCGCGGGTGTTTCCGTACCCCCGACAGAGCAGTAACTGACGGAAGACGCGCACGCCGGTTGATCCGTTTGGATCCAGTTCTGACTGTTTGCAGTTACCGTGTCCTGCCTCGCCTGCAAGCGTTCACGACGGGCTTTCGCTCCTTTGATTGTAGTTAAGGTCGCTCCCCGGGCCAGACCCTGGCGTCTACACTGCAGGAGGAGGGCCCCGGGCCCCGACTGCACCTTCTCAACACTCTGCTTTCTTAGTGGCTGGAAAGCGAGCGGTCGTTTAAACCCCTGCCCAGGGTTTTGTTGCCTTGTCGTTGAGTATAGACGAGGGAGGATGCCGGGGTGAGGAGTCATCATAAGCCGATCTTGCCGGAGCGGGGTTCTTCTGCTAGGGGAGGACCCAGGGTGCACGCACCTGCTCTTCGCACCCGTGTGATCAGCCTGTGTCGGCCGGTCGGAGGACCGCCGTGGGGCGGGAGGGATCCCCGGCGTGGTTGAGGAGTCCCTGGGGAGCTGTGGCGGGGAGGGCCGCAATCACAGGACCCTCTGCCTGCACTCCGTCCCCTCCCCCTAGTGCCTGGGAGCTGCGGTCCTGCTTGCACCCCGGGGAGGGGGCGTGGGGGTGACGGGCAGTCCGCAAACGTGGGCCCGGCGATGGATGCAGCGTGAGAGGGTCCGGGTCACTTCCCACAAAGGGACATCCTTAAGAACCGCCCCCCCAATATCTTCCCCGAAATTCCATCCTCCCACTGACTTCTCTCGCCTTCGATTTGATGCTAACGGCTGTGCGATGACCTGCTTTTGAGTCAAATGGCTGGTTTTCGACTTCAGTCGGTTTGTAGTTTGAATTTGTTCGTCCGGCGCACCGTTCGTGGGCGTTGAAGAGCTTCTCTCGGCTCTGGCCTTACAGAACGCCTAAAGAAGGAAGAGAAGACGCGTCAGGAGCTGGAAAAGGCCAAGAGAAAACTGGACGGGGAGACCACCGACCTGCAGGACCAGATCGCTGAGCTCCAGGCGCAGATCGACGAGCTCAAGGTCCAGCTGGTCAAGAAGGAGGAGGAGCTACAGGGCGCGCTGGCCAGGTCTGCGTCCGGCCCCGCGCTGTCCCCTGAGCCACCCCCGCCATAGGCCGCGCCCCCCACCGAGCCCCTCGCGTCCGGGCTGGGCAGAGACCCGGGGCCGGGGGCACGTAGCCTCCTTGTCGTGGGTATGACGGAGGCGCCTGGGGACCCGGGAGTCCCTGACTTGCATCAGGTTAGCAGGAAGCTCACATAAACCAGCCGGGGGCTTCACACGTCAGACGCCTGAGTCGTGTCACGAGGTCCCCAGAAATCCACCCCAGAAGACATTATTTTACCATAGCAAACGTTTTGGTTTCTGTATAGTAGAAATGAATTTCACGGTGCGTTTTAGAAGTCGAGAGGACATCCCTTTTCAGAGATGACCCCCCATTTGTTGTTCAGTTCTAAAGCATTCCCTTTTAGAATGGAAATTACGGATACTAAGTATATGTATAACCACTTGGCTCCGTGGTCATAATTTATTACAACCGAGTACATCTCGTAACAGAATTTTCCTTCCAGTCGTCTCTCACAGTTGGTCTTAGTTTGGCCAGACTCTGCTTTTCCTCTTAGAGGTGAGAGCTAGAATCCAGGGACACAGCTGTCCACACGGGCTATCCCGTCCCCCAGCGCCCCTTCCCTCGACTCCAGGCAGAGGGTCTGCCAGCACTGAGCCGAGGGGGGACGGCGGGGGTGAGGGTGGCACGTCGCGCCTCCCCCTGCGTCCCAGGAGCATGTCTGGATTCACTGTAGGCCGGACACTTTGGCCTGGTGCCACCTTGAGCGGTGTTCTCGTTCTGACATTTTGCTCGAGAGGGAACTTTTTTCTATTCTGATCGTGAAAATGCGCCTGTCCTTCCTTTTAATGGAGAATTGTCGCCCTTTGGAGAGGGGGCTGGGCTCGAGTCCGCTGCGGGGTCTGCTGCTCCTGGCTCTCGGGGGGGCGTCGCCCGGACACGGTCCCTCTGGATGTCTTCACAGGGGGGACGACGAGACGCTCCACAAGAACAACGCTCTCAAGGTGGTGCGGGAGCTGCAGGCCCAAATCGCCGAGCTCCAGGAAGACTTCGAATCTGAGAAGGCTTCACGGAACAAGGCAGAAAAGCAGAAGAGGGACCTGAGTGAGGAGCTGGAGGCTCTGAAGACAGAACTGGAGGACACTCTGGACACCACCGCGGCTCAGCAGGAACTCCGGTGAGTGGCGCCGGGCGGAAAGGCTCCGGACGTGCTGGCCATCCTTGGGAGGTGCAGGATTTGTTAGTTTGGCTGTTTCTCTCCCTACGGCAGGTGGAACGGGAACAGAATAGCCGGGGTCAGAAACCATCCAGCATGCGGGGGGAGTGAACCAGCAGACGGACGTGTGCAGGGTGGGGTGGGATCCCGCGGGGCAGGCGCGCAGCCCGGGTGAGAGGCCTAGAGAGAGGGTCACGGGGACGGGAGGGCCAGACGCAGAATGGGGGGAGATCAGGGGCGCTCAGGCTGCGGGCGGGCAGATGAGAAGGGAGGTACGCGCTCATGCTCACAAAGAGAGAAGGGCGAGGGCAGGTCCCCGGACAGGAGTGCGCGTTGGGCAGAGGCGTGTGCTGTGTCACTGGTGAGCCGACGGCCCCAGGCACGGGTGCGCGCAGCCAGAGAAGGTGCACGTGCCGAAGCCCCAGCTCACCAGCCCCCCCAGAGGTCACAGGAGAGCGAGAGCGGCAGGCCGGGGAGCAGGCCGGGCAGAGGGGCTCCCACGAGCCACTGACGGGACCTCCCACATGGCTGCCTGGGCCTCTTCTCGACCGTCCGCTCCCTCCTCAAGGCTCGAGCTGCCAGGGGCATGAGGCCCCCCCGGATGCCTTGGCCACTAGATGTGGCTGGCTGCGTGCACAGGCGTGCGTTCGTGCACACACACGCACACCGGCCGGGGCTGCTCCGGGCTGTCCTCCCGGGAAGGCCTGGAATAAAACAGGAGGCGCAGAAGACAGGTGTGGGCAGAGAAGGAGGAGACGACCTGGAGCCCCCAGGAGGGAAACCTGGGGGTGCCCTTCCCTGGAGGACAAGGGTGGGCTCACCAGGGGGCGTGGCCGGAGAGTGACGTCACGGGTGTGCCCGGGAGGCGGAGGTCAGGTTGTGGGTGTCGGGGGTGAAGAAGCAGAGGCGGGGAGCCTAACGATGTGCCAGGGACTTTGTCCGTGAATGCACGTGGAGCTTGCATCCCCCGAGACAGCTGGGGGGAGCTCTGCTGGAGCCCGTCTGAGCCAGGCAGGCCTCCCCGCCCCGAGTCCCACCCCAACCCCCCGCAGAACAGCTCTGCTGCCGGCAACGTTAAGTTCTGGTCTTCTCTGTACAACGTCTGCTTTCAAAACCTGGAAACCGCTGAACTAGACTTTGTTGAAATACCCGTTCTCAGCCGGACTTTTGGCCACAATAGAAAAAAAGGCTCTGATCATTTCTTCCGTTCACTCTTGCCAAAAAATGAAAAAGACAAGCACACGTGCATATTTAATAAAACCACGGCCGTGCGCACCTCTCGCTGAGGAACCCCTGCCCCCCAGCCGGTTCGTCCCTGGGCATTCTGAATCCCGGGGGTCGCGGGACGGTCACCGTCCTCAGCACATCCAGTACCTGCAGCGGACTCGGCGCGTCGCTCTCGGAGGACTTGCCCGGAGAGCCGAGGGGCTGCTGGCTTGATCAGCCTGGAGCGGGGGAAGGAGGGCTGGTGGGAGTTAGGAGCGGGACTCTTCCCCGGAGGGACGGTGCTCAGACGGCAGGAGGACTGCTGCTGCTGCTGCTTCCACGGAAGTGCTGGTCACGCGCTGGGGTGAGCTGAAGTCACCAGACGGAGTGTGTCTGCCTGTCGGGGCGTCTGTCGGGCCCGGCGCTCGCTCCGGCGTCCGTCCCCCTCTGCCGGTCCCTTCGTCTCGAGGAGACCGCGGGGACGGGGCCCGACCAGCAAGCTTGCGGCTGAGCCCGGCTAGACCAGAGAACCTTCGCTGATCCCTTCCATCCGGCTGCCCTGTGACCCCAGAGCCAGCAGCCGCCGGGCCCCCCAATCCACTGGGAGAGGGAGGAGAATGTGCCCACGGGGTCCACCCCCAAGTCACTGTCCCGCTCACGTGTTTGGAACCATAGAGTTATTCTTCAGGAGGGTTGGCAGGTCACAGCTCCTCCGTGTCCTGATGTCCTGCAGCCCTGAGCAGCTTCGGTCTTTACCAAGCCATGTGCTCAGATGGACGGGTTTGTGAAGTCTCTTCTTAGTTAGCGAAACCACCTCGGTCTTTCAGCCTACCCACCGTGTGTTAGAGCAAATCATAAAAGTACTGGAAAGCCACATAAAGACACTTAACGCTCACGCGATCTTTAGTCCCCAAGTTTAGGTTAGAGGAGACCTCCGTTCATCTCAGGACATTCAGAGCCCAGGCTCTGGTCCCTCCAAACTCCGGAGACCTTGTATGTCCGGAGTGGGGCCCCTGCGCCTGCCTCTAGTTTCCTGTCCCTCCTCCCAGCCTCAGCCACCTCCTGATGGAGTCTTGGGAGGGGGTCCACCTCCCAGGATGGTTAGAGTCCCGTCTTTGTCGGGACGCAGTGTCCCGACTCCTGGGGCCTTGGCTGCCCCTTAGCTTTTGAAACCTCTTCAGATTCACCCTTTCCAGCTTCGCTGAGAGGTCAGCTAGCGCTGTGGCATCTCGCGTCTGCCAGGCAACCAGGCTGCCCAGAGCAGTCCGAGGCCCGCGTCTGATCGTCGTCACAGGCCCAATAATTCTTTCAAAGGAATTAACGTGATATATTTTCCGTGACCATAACAACATCCCGAATGTACTGAGGGCTGTTACAGGCCAGGCCCTGTGCCGGGCGCTTCCCACGTGCGAGTCTCACAGCGGCCTCCCGAGACCCTAGGGTGCAGATGGAGAAACCGAGGTCCAGAGTTCGAGCTGTGCGAGGTCCCGGACTTGGCAAACGTGAGAGCCGTAACTGAGCCCACGTCTGTCAACTCTGGGGAAAGCTGAGCATACTTAAAACCAAAACAGCACCTTAAAAATGTTCTTTTAATTCAGTCTCGGTCACCTGATTCTGAGCTGCTTTCTCTAAAAATACGTTTGTCTAGCACCAAGCGCGAACAGGAGGTGGCTGAGCTGAAGAAGGCTCTGGAAGAAGAGACGAGGAACCACGAAGCTCAGATCCAGGACATGCGGCAGAGACACGCCACGGCCCTGGAGGAGCTTTTGGAGCAGCTCGAGCAGGCCAAGCGGGTGAGTGAGGCAGGGGCCACCCGTGTCCGCGTCCTGCGGGAAATCGCCCTCAGAACCCACCCCCCCCGCCCCGTCCACTCAGTACGGATTTACTCGGACACTCCCGGTGGCTGCCGACCTCCAAGAGCCACATGCCCGTGGTTGTGTGTGTGTGTGTTAATAAGTGGGTGGGTCCAGCTGCCCGTTGCAAATCCCACACTCCTCCCAGGGTGTCCCCCCACCAGTGTCCCCTTCCGACGATGAGCTCAGAAACCTCGAACGGTCTGACGTCTCTCTCGTGCTGCCAGCCAGTCCCCGAGTCCTGCTGGTTTTTCCCGTGCCCCTTAGCCTCCCCTCCCCGTCCCTCCTCGCCCATCCTTGCCCTTGGTCTGTCTCAGGCCACTGTGCCTGTCGCCGCCCGTCTCACGTCGGCTTCCCGTCCTCCCACCGGCTCCACACTTCATCTCGTGCAGCCTCTGACCCCTGGGCAGATGAGCCTTCTTCCTCGTTATTCCCCATACTCCTCCCCTGCCCGTCCACATGCCACCTTCTGATTTGTGCGCTCACAATAGCAACACCGACGGACGTCGGCATCCGTGTGCATCCGTCGCCACGCTGAGTACTCGACGCGCGTTGCCTTTGACTTTTACTACAACCTTGTGGGGCAGACTCTGCTGACGGGGTTCGGAGATTACCCAAGGGTCGCACAGCCAGTAAGCGGCCAGTGAGAGGGAAGCCGGGGAGTGTGGCCCTGGAGCCCCCACGGAACCCCCCCTCCCCCGCCGCACGGCCTCGAAGGCCCGTCCCCAGTCCCGAGTCCTCCCGGGGCGGCCCCTGCAGGGAGCCAGCCTGTTGTGAGCCGCCTTGCATCAACGTGTGTGCCCTCGTCTGACACACCGCATTAGTCTCAGCCCGGCAACAAGACTCGCAGCTCCTTGTTAAAAATAATTCTCTGAACTAACAGAACGTGTCTTACACCAAGGGTAACGTGAATGAACGGTGGCACTTTGGACAGATGCGCCATGTGTCGCCCCCACGCTGGGCTGACAAGGATAAAGTCCATGGTGCAGTGAGCCCCTAAATATCTGGGTCTCCCCGCGCCCCCCAGGCAGCGTGCGCCAGGGTGTCCCTGCTGTAGAAACTTCACCCTCCGAGAAGAACGGAGGTTTTCATTCAGACGCTGATGGCAGACCACGGAGCGGGCGCGATCCCACCAGTGGAAAAAGCAGCGCCTTGTATGGAGTGTTCTAAAAATAGCACATTTCTCTTCCTTCGCCTCCTAGTTCAAAGCGAATCTTGAGAAGAACAAGCAGGGCCTGGAGACCGACAACAAGGAACTGGCGTGCGAGGTGAAGGTGCTGCAGCAGGTCAAGGCCGAGTCCGAGCACAAGAGGAAGAAACTCGACGCGCAGGTGCAGGAACTCCACGCCAAGGTGTCGGAAGGGGACAGACTCCGCGTGGAGCTGGCCGAGAAAGCAAACAAGCTCCAGGTAAGCCCGGGGCAGCCTGGCGCTGGGCTCTGCACGGGCCCCCCCCGCGGCAGGCACGCCCCTCCGCAGGCCCTGGCCAGTGTGAGCCGCTCCAAGTTCACTAATACTTGAAGAATGGACGGCGTGAGGGCGCCCGGCCGGCTCAGCCAGAGGAGCACGTGACTCCTGATCCTCGGGGTCGTGAGTTCAAGCCCCACGCCGGGTGCAGAGATGGCTTAAAATCAATAAGTACCATTTTTAAAAACTAGAGAAACCAAAATCAGGGGCGCCTGGGTGGCTCAGTGGGATAAGCGTCCAACCCTTGATCTCGGCTCAGGGCAGGATGGACTTGCATGCAGCTAGGAAAAACGATGCAGCAGATGAATGTTCGTTAGGAGAGATATACGTTCTGTGCTGCTGAGCTAAAAACCAATCACAGAACCGCGACTGTCGGACACCCAGGACCCAGGACAGCCCGCGGGTCAGTGACTCGCTGGGCCGACTCCCGGGACACGGCGCGTGGTCGGCTCGTGGCCGTAGTTCTTACAGTGGAAGGATTAACAAAGCAAGTGAATAAAGGGGAAAGGTGGGGGGCCCTGAGGACACCGTGTGCGAGCTCCCGGCAGTCCTTTGGGGGGCAGGCCCACCCGGCGCCCCGTTCCTCCCGCAGCGAGCTGGGACGTGCGTGGGGAAGCTCGCGGGGTGGTGGGGGGCTGGCCCCGTGGGCCCCTCTGCCTGACACACGCCAGTGTCTCAGATCCCAGAGGGGAAGCGGGTGCTCAGCGTAACGCACGGTGTTTACACCAGCCACCTCGGCACAGTGAGCCTTTCTATTTTAGGGAATGGCAGGCGCTTTCTGGAAGTCTAGGTTCCCACACGCCAGCCACGGGCCCTTCTAAGGAGAGCAGTCCCAGCCTCCTCTGTTAACTCTTTGCTGTGTTCTCAAAAGAGAAGATGTTAAACGGCGTTAGCGCTCCCCCGTGTTACCCTGTGTGGCGGGGGGGCGAGCTGAGCCTACGTCCGGCTCCTGGGGGTGGTCTCCCCTTCGATCCGCACACCGCGCCCCCTGGGTGAGTCTGGGCGCCTCAAAGAAGCGGAGGAGGGCGCTGGCCTCTGGTGACTCCCCTGGCAGCTCCCGGAGCCCGAGCTGAAGGCGAGGTCTCTGTCGAGTCCAGAGCTCTTCACCACCACGCTGTTGCCAGGGCCGCGGACGCGTGGGCTCTCCAGAGGCTGTTGCTAAAATGAGTACAAACAGAAATGCCCTTGGCTGGGGTCACGTGTATAGATATGTCCTGGCTGCGCCTCCCCTTTGCTAATATGACCGGGGGACAAACCAGAGTGGGGAGGGGGGAGTGTCCCGCTGTCCCTGAGGAAAGATTACAAAAGGTCTTATACCATGGGGATTGGGGGGGGTGGTTACCACATTATTCGTGAAATCTGACCATAAGAGATAGCTGAATATTCATGATAAATCTATGCCAGCAGATCTTTAAGCCTCAAAAGTAGTTTGGACTGAAGACTACGGAGTTAAACTTCTTTGACTCTCCATTATAATAAAGTTTTCAAGTTCTATAAAGATATGAATGTACCGCCCCACCCCCCAACCCCGCCCAACACAGGATTAATGCATCTTAGTGTGAAAAAGGACCAAGATCCAACACCTGCTGATCTCAGAGCCTCTTCACGCAGCAAAGCAATCCCTGGGAGGATTTAGTGTTCTTTCTGTCCCTTCGGGATAGAACAACAAGATGGTAAAGCAGAGTCAGGAGAACCCCACTCCGTGTGTGGGCTCCGCCGTTCTAATCCTCCCCGTCTGTAGTCCCGCAGCGGCTGGCGCCGTGCCTGCCTCTTGGGTCACTGGCAGCAGGTAGCAGGCGCTCCGTGATGGAAGTCTTCCTTAATTGGGTTTGGCAGTTTGCAGGATCACCCCCCTCCCCCGAATACTGCTGTTTGTGTGCATTTAAGAGTGGTGAATGTGGACCCTTCCTATCTGCTTACTGATGAACTGAATCTTGTACTCCTTGCAGAATGAACTGGACAATGTTTCAAGTCTTCTGGAAGAAGCAGAGAAGAAGGGTATTAAATTTGCTAAGGATGCAGCTGGTCTTGAGTCTCAACTGCAGGACACACAGGTAATCTGGGGGGTGAGGGCCCCTGATGGTAGCCCTGCTGTGTCTCGCGTCTACAAGCCGGTCCCAGAATGGCTTTCTGATCATCTCTGGTTTTATGCTCAACTTTTATTTGGAACCGTCTTGCTACTAAGGAAATCTCCGAAGCTCGTAACTCGACGCGGAGCCCCTGGTCCCTGCTTCGCACCATCAGGCACCGCCTGGGATGCGGTCCAAGCAGCCATCCTCTTGCGCGCACAAGCGTTGCTGGCCATTTGCACTAAGACTGTTTTCTTGTGGCTGAAATTCCATGACCCTGACCTCAAAGAGAGTCCCTACCGTAAAAGGACAGGTTGAAGCTCGCTAAATCCTATGGTTAAATCCCGTATCAAAACGTGCCTTGGGAGTGTCTTCCAGTCCAAGAGAAATCAGGATATTGAGTTCGATATAAAAATAACGTAGCATTTTTTTCTTGGAGTTTGACATCTTCTTTGTATTAAATTTTCTAACTTTATAGGAACGGGGATTTGCTAGATGCTGGGGATACAGGGTAAAAATCTCAGACAAAGAAGGTGGGCGTAATGGGGGCTTACGTGGTGACGAGGCGTATCCTGGTCAGCACAGAAAGCCCTCTGCGTGCCTTTGAAAACTTTCAAGTCTGAAAGTAAATGGGAAAGACACGTTTGCATTAACATTTTAGAAAAATGAGTCTGGCAGAAAGTATTAAAGGACAGACGCTGGAGAGGCGGCCCGATCCTAGAGGGGGTGGTAGTGAGAAGTGCCAAGTTGCCTGAACTAAGGGACAGGGGAGCGGAGGGAGGATTTGCCAAAGCGCAAAGATGCAGGAGGAGCAGGGAAGGCGGCCCGGGCGCCAGGTGGACAGGGCTGCCGTTCCTCAACGACCAGCATAACGCAGTATTTCCGGTAGGAGCGTTTATAAAATTATCACATGTGTCTCTGAATCCTTTCCGTCTCTTACTGTCACTGGGTATTGCGCACACACCGAGGCGCTCTGGTGTTCGTGACGTGAAGTTGTTTTTTTATAAGAGGTGTTTTTATTTTGGTGCCTGATGTGACTTCAGTCTTGACCTCTCACGAAAACAAACAGGAGCTTCTCCAGGAGGAGACGCGCCAGAAACTGAACCTGAGCAGCCGCATCCGGCAGCTGGAGGAGGAGAAGAACAGTCTCCAGGAGCAGCAGGAGGAGGAGGAGGAGGCCAGGAAGAATCTGGAGAAACAAGTGCTGGCCCTGCAGTCCCAGGTGCACGCGCGCCCCCCCCCAGAAGCCGCGCTGCGTCGTCCCATCTGCATTTGGGACAGTTAATTAGGTTGCACTAAATTAAGCCCAAGAAGGGTTTTTCCCTTGACCCAGCCACATGCTGATACCACGCTGGTGGTTATGGTGCCAGAAGCATTTAAAATAAAGCCCTAGGACCGTGTCCGCCATTCAAATCAGCCATCCCTTTGTGGATTATTAGCTAAGAAATTCAGTTACACTCGAAGGTTCGTTTGCTCAAAGTCACACAGTGTTGATTTCGAACTCACCTTCTCTCTATTCCTCACCTGTAAGCATCAACGGGGTTGTTTGACGCGCATCTCTCTTCCCGTAAAACCTAGCTCACGGACACCAAGAAGAAAGTAGATGACGACTTAGGAACAATCGAGAGTTTGGAAGAAGCCAGAAAGAAGCTTCTGAAAGATGCGGAGGCGTTGGGCCAGCGCCTGGAGGAGAAGGCCCTGGCCTACGACAAGCTGGAGAAGACCAAGAACCGCCTGCAGCAGGAGCTCGACGACCTGACGGTGGACCTGGATCACCAGCGCCAGATCGCCTCCAACCTGGAGAAGAAGCAGAAGAAGTTCGACCAGGTGGGTCCCCGGCGCCGCATGCGGTCTCCTCCTGGCAGCGCCCTCCCTTGGGTGGCTTATGGTTTAAAATCATCTGTAGAAAGTTGGAAAAGGAGAGAAGCAAAAAGAGATAGGAGAACAGCCCTAATCTGGTGCTGTGCTTCACTGTAAGTCGGACACGCAGAGAAGGCAAAGTGGTTCTGTCGCTCTTTAAGCCGCTATCCGCATTAACCCGCCACCGTCCCCCCCCCCCCCAACAGCTGTTAGCGGAAGAGAAGAACATCTCCGCTCGCTATGCTGAAGAGCGAGACCGCGCGGAGGCGGAGGCCAGAGAGAAGGAGACCAAAGCCCTGTCCCTGGCCCGGGCCCTCGAGGAAGCTCTGGAGGCCAAGGAGGAGTTTGAGAGACAGAACAAGCAGCTTCGGACAGACATGGAAGACCTCATGAGCTCCAAGGATGACGTGGGGAAGAACGTGAGTAGCCCTGGGGACCAGTCCTCGGAGGGGGGCAGGTGACTCCCCACAAGCGCCTGATGGGTCCGGGGGCGTCCAGGCTGGCGCGTAAGGAAGGGGGGTGACGTCTTCAGGGAGAACCTGTCAGATTCTGTGTGGTCTGTTCTCGCAGCAGCGCTGACAGATGGGGAGGCCTTGTTTACTGATGGCACTTTCATGGGTGCTCCCCGCCCTCCCCTGCGTCCTGGCGGGGGACGCTGAAGAAGGCACGTCCTCGGCCCCGAGTCCCAGGGAGTCACCAAACACGAGTACCTCGAGGGCCCCTCAGACCGAGGGCAGCGGGAACCCGGAGGGGGGCTGGAGGCACCTACAGCTCTCCCTGACCCCGGCCTTCCCGGTCGAACGCCCTGGGCACTCATTCACTGTCTGGAAATGTCTGCGGTCCTGTCCTTTCACCGCACACACACTCCACGAGAACTGTGATGATTTTTATGTGCCCCATGCCCCTCCCTTAGGTGCATGAGGTGTGGAGGATGGCGAGGCGAAGCCAGGCCTGGGGTCAGAAACAGGTTTGGGGCTCGGCTCTTCCCCCCAGCTTCCGTTCTCAGCAGGAGAAGCCACTTGATCTCTTGAGCCCAAGTTATGTCATCTGCCCAATGGACAGGATACCTCCCCTGTTTCATGAAGCCACAACACTATGCTCTTTGAAAAGCATAGCGTCTCATTTTCATGGGATGTGGGCGCCCCGCCCCCGTCATAAAGGAGGGAAGGCCATCCTACCTTCCCGTTGGGTCTCCCGACAACCCGGTGCCTAGTGGATCAGCCCCTCAGGCAAGAGGTCGCCTAGAGCAGAAACGGCCATGATTACACAGTAAAATGTAGAGCAAGACTCCGGTTACTTTCGTTGTGTTTTTTTTTTTTTTTTTAAATCAAGTGAGCTCTCCGTCCAACAGGGGTCTCAAACTCAGAACCCCGAGATCAAGAGTCAGACACTCCCCCATCTGTGCCAGCCAGGCGCCCCGTTGTTTGCTCGTTCGTATTTGTCGTTCGCTAGAATCATCAACAGTCCCATTGACTCCACAGACATTGTGCCTAAGAAGCAGCAGACGCTGCAGAGACGCCAGGGCCTCCCGCCCTACCTCCTCCTGCCCCCGTGAGCCCCAGAGGGGAGGCAGAGCGCCTGCACCTGAAGGGTGTCCTGGGGGGTGGAGGCACCTGGCCCAGAGAACTATGTAGATGTTTGCGATGGGGATCTTTGTCCAGAGGAAGGCCAGGCCTCTGTTTCCCCGCACCCTGCTTCCCTGACCTAACTCACCTTACTATTTGGAATTTCCACGTGCGTTTTTGGCCCCAGCCACCTTCCCCACGGCAGGACGGGATGTCCTGAGTGCCTTGTACGCACAGACGGCCGGCAGATGGCCAGTCAGCAGCCCAGTTCCTCTGACACCGCGCTCGTTCCGTTGTTCTTTGGCTCGTAAAGTTCGCTCCGCTTCAAGGTCATCGGCAAACAACTTAGTGGTTATGGGGCGCGTGTCGATCAGGAGCTCCGAACTGTCCTCTAAGTGGCATTCTCCAAAATGAGGAGTGGCACAGGCCGTAGCAGGAGAGGGAAGGATGTGTTTGACATGGGGGGGAAGCCGGCCCGGGAGGGACCAGAGTGGCCTTTGAGCCACGTGGGGGCCTCTGACAGAAGACACAGACGGCCGTCCCCGTCTGCGCCTCTGCCAGGGGTCATCTCTCCCCTGCTGCTTCCTGTGCTTTAGGTGCATGAACTTGAAAAATCGAAGCGCGCCCTGGAGCAGCAGGTGGAGGAGATGAGGACCCAGCTCGAAGAGCTGGAGGATGAACTTCAGGCCACGGAGGACGCCAAGCTTCGCCTAGAGGTCAACATGCAGGCCATGAAGGCCCAGTTCGAGAGGGACTTGCAGACCAGAGACGAGCAGAACGAAGAAAAGAAGCGGCTCCTGGTGAAACAGGTAGGTCAGAGGCAGCGCGGCCTCGGGAACAGGAACCTGCTCGTTCTCGAAGTCCGGCTGTGGGTCAGTATCCTGTTCGTTCACGTCAGAACACGTTAGCAGGAGGAAAACCAACGTAGTTGAACATTTGGTCTTTAAAGTTTAGTGTACTTGTTTCTGATTTTCTATTTCCTTATTTATCAAACACCACCACTGCTGCTTACGAGCCAGGAAACTTCTCGGTAATTACATAGCCCTCGGTGGGACCTCAAGAGACAATGCAGTTAGGTTCAAGGTCGGGGAGTCTTAAACGTGTGGGTGAAGGAGAGAAGCCGCCACGGCTGACGAGGGGACTCCGCATTTCTGAAGTTCAGATCACATGCCCTCATGAAACCACTCCTCAGAGGGAAAAAAGCCAGATGATTCTCCTGTTTTTGTTTTTGTTTTTTTAAGATTTTATTTATTTGAGAGAGAAAGAGCATGAGAGTGGGGGGCGGGTAGAGGGAGAAGCAGGCTCCCCGCTGAGCAGGGAGCCCGATGCAGGGCTCGATCCCAGGACCCCGGGATCATGACCTGAGCCAAAGGAAGACATTCCACCGACTGAGCCACCTGGGCGCCCTCCTTTTTTTGGTTTTAAAAAGTTGCCAGGCACTTACGATTTGTATACTTTTCTGAATGTATGTGAGATTTCTAATTTGTAAGTTCACTTTCAAAACTAATTGTGGCTATTTTGACAGTCCCTTGGAGTTGGTGGTATCAAGTCTTGGATCTGGGATAGATCTGTTTCATTATTGTCAGGCACTAGTATTTAATATATTAGCCATTTCTTGCTAGATAACCAGTGACCTCAGACTTAGTGACTCAGAACAGCACTTACATAGCTCCCAGTTTCTGTGGGTCTGCAATTCTGAATCCACGGGGCAGGTACATCGTCTGAAAGCCTGACTTGGGCCAGAGGACCCACGTCCAGGCTGGCTCCCCCCCACCCCCCCGAGCCCGGGGTCCTGGTCTGAGACCTTGGCTCCTTGCCGCGGGGCCGATCCACAGGCCCTTGAGTGTCCCTGCAAGAGATGTCTGCCGGCTTTCCGTGTGTCGTCACCTTGGCTAGGAGCCCGAGGTCACGGACTCCGCCTTCCCGTGCTCCACAGTAGCCCGCGGGAATGGTGCATACAAGGCATTACCGTTCAAGACCTCCCTGAACACACTTCAGCTCCAGAGAGCTGCCGCAGAGTCACCGTCTGGATGCCAGGCTGCCTGTCCCTGCGAGGGGTCCCAGGGTATGGCCGGGCCTGACCCGATGCTGTCCACCAGGTGCGGGAGTTGGAGGCGGAGCTGGAGGACGAGCGGAAGCAGCGGGCGCTGGCGGTCGCTTCCAAGAAGAAACTGGAAATAGACCTGAAGGACCTTGAAGCCCAGATCGAGGCGGCGAACAAGGCGAGGGATGAAGTGATCAAGCAGCTCCGCAAGCTTCAGGTAGGTGACCTCCGGCCCTGCAGACCCGTGAGCCGCCAGGAGGCAAGCTCTGCAGCGCCCCCTGCCGGCCGGCTCAGCGCGCACACGCCGCCAGTCCCGGGTGCGCGGTGGGGTTGTGGCCCGGCGGCCGAGGATGGGTCAGCGGGCAGGAGGAGGGCACGCACGACTGTCCTGTCTGCAGGATGTGCAGGGCCCCACCCAGCACATCTTGGACGGTGCTGGCATGGTCAGAGGTGGAGCATCCGCCGGGGGGCTCAGGCTCTTAGGGCTCGGACAGCCTCTGGTGACGCTCAGCTTAGCCTGGAGCCACCCAAGAGGATGGTGGCGTTGGCCGCGGCTGTCTGCGGCCATGAGCTTTAGTCCTCTTTGGTCTGATTTAATCTGCACTTCTACTCAAATGACGTGCCAGTTGTCACTATCACCGTGTCAAGGGGATTTCTAGAGCAACTCCCAGTAACTCCCGGTTCTTGGCAGGACATCGCGGGCCCTCTCCCATCCTAGGCACAACTCCTCCGGGGCGAAATCGGTCGATGATGACAAAAGCTTTAGAAAACGTCCATTCCTTTGACCGTGGTGATTCCACATTTCAAGAATGTGTTCTAACAGAATATAGAGATGAGGAGAAATATTCATACACAGAGATCAGAGCTGAAATGTTGTTTGCCCGCCAGCCGGTTTGAGGCTGGGGATGAGGATGCAGTGATGGGGCCTGAGTCAGGAAGACAAGTGTGGGCAGCTTCGCTCTCGGCCACACACGTGTGTAGATGTTGGTGTATTGACAGGTAGATGACGTACTTAGGAAAAGGTTAAAAGGAAAAGTCAACTCTGCAGGATAGGTTTAGGAGGAATTTATTTGCTTCCTTATACTTTTTTAAAAAGCTAAGTACAAAGCTTTTATTTTGTGGAGTTAATTACAAAGGTCATGAAGCACACTGTGGAGAACATACATGACATGGATTTTATTTATGTACCAGCTTTAGGGAGAAATAATTCACAGGCCATACAACTTACCTAAAAGTGTTTTTTAGTATATTCACAGGGTTGTACAGACATCACCACTAAGTTTGGACATTTTGGTTCCCTCTAAAAGAAAGACACACCCGTTACCTGTCACTCCACTCTATCCACCGGGTCCAGTGCTAATCCCCCACAAATCTTTCTGTGTCTGGAGATTTTGCCTCTGCTGGACAGTCACGTAAATGGAATCATAACCTCTGTGGCTTTGCGACTGGCTTCTCCCCCTTACCGTGTTTTCAAGGTTCCTCCGTGCCACAGCATGAATTAGTAGTTTTCAGCTACTGTGAATCATGCTGCTGTGAACGTTCACGACCATCTGTGTGGACGTGTGCTTTCAATTCTTAGGTATACGCGTGCCTACGGTTGGAAGTGCTAGGTTCTATGGTAATTCTGTGTAACTTTGAGGAACTGCCAAACCTTTCCAGAGACTGTCCCATTTTGCATTCCCACCAGCTACGTATGAGTCCAGTTCCTCTGCATTCTCACCAGTATTTCCTATTACCCATCTTTTATAGCGATCCCAGTAGGTGTGAGGTGGTATTTCACTGTAGTTTTGAATTGCATTTCCCTAATGACTGATAATGAACATCTTTTCATGTATTTATTGGCCATTATCTTATCTGGGAAACCTCTCTTTCAGTCCTCGGCTCATCTTTTTAACTGAGTTATCTCTAATAACGGAGTTGTGACATTTCTCTGTGTATTCGGGATGCTTCTTGTGAGAGAGAGGATTTCCAAATATTTTCTTCCGTTCTCTAGTCTGGTCCGTTCACTCGCTCGATGGTATTGTGTACCGTACAAATTGTTTAGTTTTGATGGAGTCCAGCTTATTTCCTCTTTTGTTTCTTGTGCTTTTGTTATCAGATCTGTGTGAACTATTGCCTAATCCAAGATCCTATGTTTCCTCCTAAGAATTTTATACTTTTGGATTTTTTTTTAAGTCCATTGAGTTAAACTTTGTGGTATGTGTACAAACCCAACCTCATTCTTTTAGATACGGCTATCTAGTTGTCCCAGCGCCATCTGTGCAGAAGACTGTTCTTTCCCCCATTGAATTGTCTGGGCACTCCTGTCAAAAATTAACTGACCATAGATTTATGTGTTTATTTCTGGACTCCGTTCTGTGCCATCGATCTATACGCCTTTCCTTACGCCAGCATCACATAGTCTTGATTGCTGTGGCTCTTGTAAGTTTTGAAATTGGGAAAGGTGACATCTCTAGCTTTATTCTTTTTCGAGATCGTTTAGCGTTCCTTACAATTCCACACGAATTTTAGGATCAGTTTGTCATTTTCTGTAATGAGGGGGAGGGGGAGCCAGCTTGGATTTTGGTAATGTGCTGACTTACATGCATCAGTTTGGAGAGGACCACCATCCTAACAGTATTGTCTTCCAGTGCATGAACCTGACAGTCTTTCCATTTATTTAGCAATTCTTTTTTCAGTGATGTTTTATTTTATAGTTTTGATGTTCAAGTCATATACTTGAACTTAAGCTAAATTTATACCTAAATATTTTATTGTTTTTTGATGCTTATAAAAATTGCTTTCGTAATTTTTGGAATGTTTATACTGTATGGAAATAGAACTGATTTATGTATATTTATGTATACTGATTTTGTATCTTATAACCTTGCTGTACTCATTTATTCTTAAGGTGGATTCCTTAAGATGTTTAGTATATCAGATCATATTATCAGCAGAGCAAGCTGGTTATTTTTGCCTTTTTAAAGCCTTTCTAATCTGGATATCTTTTTGTTGTTGTTGTTCTTGTCTTGGTGTAATTGCTTTGACTAGAATCTCCATGACAGTATTAAACAGAGGTGGCAAAGTCAGACATTCCTGCTTTGTCGCTGCTCTTAGGGGAAAGCATTCAATCTTTTGGCCACTAAGTAGGATATCAGCTATTGGTTTTCACGGCTGCCATTTATCCAAGTTGAGGGAGTCTCCTTCTGTTCATTTTCTTAAATGTTTTTATAATGAAAGGGTGTTAGATTTTGTCCAGTGCTTCTTACCTGTACTTAGATGATCCTGCAGCTGTATTAATTCATTTTGGGGTTTCAAATTAGCCTCGCATTCCTCAGATAAATCCCACCTGGGTGTTGGGATATAATGGTGTATAAATATACACAGTGTATAATTCTTGTTATATACTGATGGATTCAGTTTGCCACTATGTTTGTAATTTGTCGCTGGATTTGTTGAGGATTTTTGCATCTATGTTCATAGATGGGATATTGTTCTAAATGTTTTCATGTGATACCTTTGTCGTTTCCACATATTTTTATATTTTCAATGGCTGGATATTACTTTTATGATCCGGAAAAAATACATGTTTAAAAACTAATAATGAAAACCACTCTAAAACCTTCTTCCTAATCTTAGGCTCAGATGAAGGATTACCAACGTGAATTAGAAGAAGCTCGTGCATCCCGGGATGAAATTTTTGCTCAATCCAAAGAGAGTGAAAAGAAACTGAAGAGTTTAGAAGCAGAAATCCTTCAACTGCAGGAGGTTTGTTAATATTCACTCATCCATTTGTTCAAAAAATGTTGGCCCCTGAAATTTCTCCAAGATCAAAGAATTATCTTACTGTCTTGGTAGCCTAGTATAATTTCACGACCCGTTTTAATAAAGTACTGGACCATCTTACTGGCTCAGTGCAGCAAACAGAGCGGTCACATTGTGGTACTGCTTATATATATATATATATATATATATATATATATATTCCTCTGTGTGGCCAAAGGCCAAGGGGTGGCTTAGTAATTTTCCAGGCGACTTTCCAGGCCTCGTTCCATGTGTAAGAAAAGGCAGTAGAGTTTAATGTTGGTAAGCATCAGGATCATTTAATCTTACTGCTGTAAGATTTCCTTGTTTTACACAGAAGCCCCATTCATGTGATACTTACAAGAGGAGATGTAGGTTTCATCGAGTTCCTTCGTGAATCATCTTGTGATCAATTCTTTCATTTCTCTCTTTTGTAAGTTCTCAGGAAGAGGGCCTGACGAGGGGTTCTATCAGTGGTAGGCACACCTGAATACATACATTTATTTTAACAGCTTTATTGAGGTAAAACTGCCAAAGAACTGCACATATTCAGTGTGTACACATTTCTGCTTATATAAATGATGATCAAAATTTATACCAACCTATAAGATAAGAGCAACTTAAGCTGAAATGTTATTACCAGTTAATATGAAAAGAAACTCCCAATACCACCACCTAGAAATGCTGGCCCTAGAAATGCTGGCTTCGGTGTTAACAAAGACGACTATAAATGTGGGGTAGAGCTTGCAAGAAAGGAAGGGAATGCCTTCGGTGTCAGGAATGGAGAAGGAACCAAAGACCAGCAGAGTAACGCTGAGCAGACCCTGAGCTTCCTCCGAAGGGCAGCTTGTGGTGTGGGTCCTTCTTTGTTTTCTATTTCATTGACTTCTTTTGCTCCTGTCTTCATTCCCTTTGGATTTTTTTTCTGACTTCTTGAGTTGCACACTCATTAATTTTCAGGCTTTTCTCTTGTCTGATTCTGCTCCTAGAACACTGTAAATTGCCCTCAAAGTCCTGTGTTCACTGTATCCTGCAAAATCTGGGCTCTCGTTGCCATTTAAATTCTAAATTTTTTTTTCAAGATTTATTTTAGAGAGCACGAGGGGGAAGGGGGCAGAGGGCAAGAATCTTAAGCAGACTCTCCGCTGAGCGCAGAGCCCGACACAGGGCTCGAACTCACAACCCTGAGATCATAACCTGAGGTGAAACCAAGAGTCAGCCACTCAATGGACAGGAGCCCCTAGTTCTTAATTTTTCTAATTTTGATGATGGTTTCTTCTTTATTTCATGAATAATTTAAAAATGTGGTTTAAGTTCCCAAATGTGTGTCATTGATTTGTTACATTGCATCGTGGCTAGGAATACTGAGAGCAGAGCTGCTTCAGGGCCTAGAATGTGGTCAATCTTTAAAAAATTCTCCATGTGTGCTTAAAAGAACATGTGCACGTTCCTCAGTGAGGTAGCTGTTGAAGACCCGTGGGGTTCATCATGCAGCTGACAGGGTTATACCCAAAGGTGATGGGGCTCTGGGAGCCAGGCCCCCCGGGGCACGACCCACGCAGCCCTGCACCCTCCCAGCCTTGTGAGAAAGTGGTTATTTCAGGCCTTCAGACAAAGGGCCTTTGCATTAGGGGAAAAGAGACCCCCCCCCACTCCCCGAAAGGGAGCACTGCCCTTCCCTCCATCTCTTTTTCCTCCCCTCAGACCCCTTTGTTCTTAGGCTTACAAGCCCCGGGCTCCTCCCCTTTCTCCCGTGGGTCCCCCAGCCTGTGTGCGGCACACCCAGCCAGTGGACAGGAAGGGCCCCTGGCTGGGGCAGGACGATGGGGCACCAGAGGCCAGATGGTAGAGCCGATGCTTACACGTGCTCGTGAACCAGAGGCCCTTGGGTCCGGCCCAGAGCATTCCTTGCTCGCACCTGGGCTCGCTCTGTCCCGCGCAGGGGGGTTGTGTGTGCTGGAACCCCGGCCTTTGGCCTGCATCCTGTGCTCTAATAACGTGAGAGGTAAACACACGAGCCAAGCACACGGGCGAACTCCTTTGTGTGTAGCCCTATTCCGCGGGCATCTCTTGAAGGGCCAGCCAGACCCCGGTTTTCTGCTGCCGACCAGCCACAGGACTTGGCAAGTCCCTTCCTCCTTACACTGAGGGCGGAGGTGTAGCGCTCACACTCAGACTGTCCTCTCCGTCTTTACCCGCGCGGGGTAAGAAGGGCGCCCCGGCTGCTTCCTGTGGCAAGTCCTCCTTCCAAAGAAACGTGTGGAAAAGCTGCCACGAGGCGGTTCTTCCTGCAGAGGACTGGCCGGCCCAGAGCTGTCCCCTTGCCCTGCGCAGTCTCCAGTCACCGAGAAGGAGGCCCGAGAGCTCACGCCCCCTGCTGCTCCCCCCCACGCGCTGCACACCTGCTGTGTTTCCTGGGGCCTGATGCTCCTGGTCACACTGTGGGACACACGAGGCGGCTGCAGCCGGCACGACAGTCCAGTTTCGCCTGTGAGGAAATGGTTAATCCCAGTCTAATCTCCCTTAGGAACTGGCCTCCTCGGAGCGAGCGCGCCGTCATGCTGAGCAGGAGAGAGACGAGCTGGCGGACGAGATTGCTAACAGCGCCTCTGGCAAGTGAGTCTCCCGACCGTGCGGGGGGGCTAGAGACCAGCGGCAGCCCCACCTGTCCTCCGGGCACCCGTGGGCCGTCCCCCTTGGGGCTCGCCCACCGCCCCGGGGAGGCGGGGCCGTCCGGCATCTGGAAGTCAGGAGCTCATCTGCTCATCTGGGAAGATGAGCCCAAGACAGACGCTGGGCCTCCGGCCGGCAGCAAATCATAGCTCCCCGCATCAGTCAGTCCCACACTAGGTGTGAAGGAAGGGCGTCTGGAACGCCCCCCATTTCCGCAGACGGCCCGCAGCCTGGCCATGCTGGTCTTGACTTTGAGATTCCTTCGGTCGGGCAGGCAGATCCCTTAAGACCTTTCTCTGCCTTTTTCGTGAAGTCCCGCCTTTTTCCAGTGAAGGTGCCTTCTGCACCTTTGTGGCAGGTCCTGGCAGACTTGGCACTGTCGGACGGGGTGCTGGGAAGGCCGGGCCGGGGTCATCTTGCCTTTTCGGAAGGGGACCCTGGCTGCTGCGTCAGGGGCCCGCTGGAAGGTGACCACAGCAGCCGGCCAGAAGGGGCAGGGGGCGGAGGGTAATGGGCAGGCCTCACTGATGGCCAGGGGGATGGGGGATGGGACAGCCAGCCGTCAAGGACGCTGCTGGGGGGAGGGGGGCGCGCAGACCCCTTGCCAAGCGGTCTCCCCCCCACCCCTTCCCTCCCCCGCCCAGGTCTGCGCTGCTGGACGAGAAGCGGCGTCTGGAGGCGCGGATCGCACAGCTGGAGGAGGAGCTGGAGGAGGAGCAGAGCAACATGGAACTGCTCAACGACCGCTTCCGCAAGACCACGCTGCAGGTGGCCCGCGCGGCGGCCGGGTGCTGGGAGGGGCCGCACCGCGCCACAGGCCTGAGCCGCTCACCCCGGCTGTCCTCCACAGGTGGACACGCTGAACGCCGAGCTGGCGGCCGAGCGCAGTGCCGCCCAGAAGAGCGACAACGCGCGCCAGCAGCTGGAGCGGCAGAACAAGGAGCTGAAGGCCAAGCTGCAGGAGCTGGAGGGCGCCGTCAAGTCCAAGTTCAAGGCCACCATCTCGGCCCTGGAAGCCAAGATCGGGCAGCTGGAGGAGCAGCTTGAGCAGGAAGCCAAGTAAGAGGGTTTTGCCGCCACAGACCCAAACTTCCTGTGCCGGAGAGTCCCGTGGCGGCTCCCGTGGCTCGGGCGTGGGAGACAGACGTGGTGTGAGCCCCCGGGGACGGCTGGGCTCGGCTGGGGGCGAATCCTCCTGTCCCCTGATTTCCCAGGAGCCCTAGGCCGCCTCTCCCCGCCGCGAGTAGATGTCCCAAGTTGCTGGCATCACGTGAAATGCTAGTTTGTTGCCAGAGAAGAGACGCCATAGGACAAACAAGCTTTTCTGCTCCCAAAGCAAAGGGCAGCTCAACATCTGCCCGTGGGGGTGCAGCCAACGGTCCTGATGCTGGAGACAGACTGCCCAGGCTAGCACAGACCTTCACGTTCGCCCTCCTGACGGGGAGCCTGGGGCCCAGACACGCGGGCCCATGCTCAGAGCCCAGCACACCCCCCCCCCCACCCAGCTTCCCCCCACTTCCCACTCTTCAGACTGCGCTGCACTCAAAGAAAAGGGCTTGTTCACCGTGGGCTGTAATTACCATGACTTGCCCTTTTCAGCGAATTCTGCCCGTTTTTGCATAACATTTGAGAAGGAACAAAAGGACATTTTCTGTTCTCAATGGAGCTCAGTTCCCTCTCCTGTGTGGGCCTGTCTGGAAGCCCGGTGACTTGCTTGGCTTTCCCCGAAGGGGGAGTGTGGGATTTTTCTTGTCTGTTCCACTGGTAACTGCGACAGCCCCCAGCATCTGGGTAGGTAGTCAGTAAATTTTACATTGAAGAGTCACTTAGTAAATTAGGTCTTGTTTTGTTTTCCAGGCTAAATAGGTAATCAGAGTAACCAGCTAAGGTTTTTGTCCTCAGAAAGTTTGAACTCAATATACAGGGCAAGTAGCTTAAAGAAGAAAAAAAAAATTTTTTTTTTTTTGAGAGAGAGAGAGAGAGAGAGTGCACGAGCTGGGTGTGGAGGGGCAGAGGGAGAAGCGGCTTCACGCAGAGCAGGGAGCCCGATGTGGGGCTTGATCCCAGGACCCTGGGATCATGACCTGAGCAGCCGCTTAACTGAGCCACCCAGGTGCCCCTGGGGCAGGTAGCTTTGAGCTTCAGAAGTTCACTAAAGTGATCGCTATCTGTGTGTGAAGGAATAATGAATGCACTTTTTCTACGTATCAGCATTGGGATACATTACAGGTAATGCGTATTTTAATCAGAAGGGGAAAGTTCCTAGGCCATATTAATTCTATTGCTCTGGTCAGAGAGGTCTTGGAAGGCACTCCAGCATGTGTCCTCTTCCAGAGAAAAAGGACTTAAAAAATCCTTTCCGAGTTGCACAAACTAACGCGTTGGTCATTTTACTAGGGAACGAGCAGCCGCCAACAAACTCGTCCGTCGCACCGAGAAGAAGCTGAAAGAGATCTTCATGCAGGTTGAAGATGAACGTCGACACGCAGATCAGTATAAAGAACAGGTAAGGGGAGAAGACCGAGCAGGACGACCAAGCATGCCGCCCGTGAAATGCTTCACTTAGCGAGAACATTGGGGCAAAATGAGCCCGGGGTTACCATTTGACCAGCGAGATTAAAAAAAATGCTATTTGAAATGTTCATTCTCGTGTTCCAACAACCATGGCTGTTCCTCGCCCACATCAGACACTGGGGTGCTGGGGACACAGGTGATTTCAGACGCCGCCTCCGCCCCTCAGGGCTCTCCCAGGGCCGCATTGCTTGCTGCCCCGGGGGGCCGTGCTCTCGTTCCGTCTCCCCCCACCACTCTGCTGCGCTGCAGACGCTGGGACGGAAGGTGGGCGGGGTGGAGAATGCCCAGGCCTGGGCCCCAGACCCTTCCCTTTTCTCTCCTGGCCCTGGTCAGGCAGCTGGCTCCTCCTACCCTACCCCCACCGAGGGCAGTTCTGGGCGGCCGTGAGCTGGCCAGCGTCCACATCGCTGCGGTCTCGTGTCCACTCTTCCAGAGTGGCCTTGTACTTGAATCAAAGCGTAACATCCGAAACAGCCGTCCCGAATGGAGGTACAAAACCAACTGTACCATCTCCCGGGGCTGGAGACGGTCCACACGGTCAGCCCTTTTGTATTCTGCTGAACAGCCGTTCCTTTTCATAATCCCCTCGGTCACTCAGGGGAAGCTACTGAATTGTGTCATTTCTCCTACAGAAAACGCAAGGGTGAAAATAGGATTTGAGCGTTCGGTCTTTAGCAAAGTCTGCTTTGTAGACACTGGTTTGCAGAGAAAGGCAGGCTGATCCGAAGGCCCTGGACCATCCCCCAGTCGTGGGTGCGCGCTCGCGTGGCTGCCGGGGCCCCCAGCTGTGCTCCACGCTTGGGCCGCGGCCGTGCCGAAACCGAGTCGGCCGCTTTGCTGTGACTGGGCTCATGTCACCTCCCCCAGATGGAGAAGGCCAACGCCAGGATGAAACAGCTCAAGCGGCAGCTGGAGGAGGCGGAGGAGGAGGCCACGCGTGCCAACGCATCTCGGCGTAAGCTCCAGCGGGAACTGGACGATGCCACGGAGGCCAACGAGGGCCTGAGCCGCGAGGTCAGCACGCTGAAGAACCGGCTGAGGTGAGCGACCCCGGGGGCTGCCGTTAAGCAGCGCTGGGTCTCGGAGCCCGGGCCCAGAGCGTGGGAAAAGAGCAGCCCTTATAGGCTTAGCGTTTGGTCCGGAGGATGCGTCAGCTTCCCGTAGCTACTCGCCCTTGCTCAGAGTCGCTTCGCAGTCGTGCATTCAGGCTTCCCGACCCGTAGTAGTCCTTCGGCGGGACGGCGGAGGAACGGGCCGCTCGCTAGCGGGCTACACAGATCCACGGCCAGGCAGGTGGCTATCCCTGTCCAGACGTCCGCGAAAAGCAGGGCAGGAGCTCCTCGCGGGCCCCGGTGCCTTCAGCCCTGCACCCGCCCCCGTCCGCACACCGGGTCTGGGAGGGGAGGCTAAACTGTCTGCCGGGAGCAGGTTAGCAGGGGCATCAGCGAAGGGCGGCCCGCTGGCCACAGGGCACGTGCCCTTTCTGTACGGGGAGCTACAGGCCGGTTTTACGTTTATAAAGGGTTGTAAAAGAGCCACACCGGGGATGTGTGACAGAGACCGTATGTGGCCCACAGAGCCCCCCCTAAGGACTAGCTGCTCCTCCGTCCAGCTCCCTGCCCGTTCCTGTGGCAACAGCCCTCTGAGAGCCTCGGGCTCGGGGTCCGCTGGGTGCCGGCCAGGCAGGGCTGGAGGACAGGGGGACAAAGCACAGAGCCTCTCCGGATCGTGCCCACCCCCGCACCCCCGCCGTGCCCTGCGAAAGGAGTGCGAGGGTGGACGCCTCAGGCGGCTGAATAGCTGGAGCGCCGCGTGTTCCCGGCTTCATCCCTGCGCGTCGGCTCTCCCTGCTCCCTTCTCCCCAGGCGAGGCGGCCCCATCAGCTTCTCGTCCAGCCGGTCTGGCCGCCGCCAACTGCACATTGAGGGGGCCTCCTTGGAGCTGTCCGACGATGACACGGAGAGCAAGACCAGCGACGTCAACGAGACGCAGCCACCCCCAGCCGAGTAGAGCCCCGGGAAGCCCGTGGAGGCGATACAGTGGGACACGCAGGACACCTCTCCCCCCCCCGGCCCCACATCTGGGAAGTCGGCCTGCGCTGGGATTCCTTACTGAGAGATCAACCGTGTCTTAAGGCTTTCCGGCCGCCCATACTGTATCCCGCTTCACAGTCAAGTACAACCGCCTCCCCTTTTTCTATATATACACACACGAGACCCACGCCTACTACACAGAGTCTCCTCATTGCATCTCTTTTGCGTATATTCACCGAGAGACCATTTTCTGATTCACGGTAAGAAGAGAACCATTTCTCAGACCAGTGGCCAGTGGCTGGGTTACTGCGGTGGCCGCTCCGTCGCTCTGCATGCTCTCTCTGCAGACAGGTCACCCCGTTCTGCGTTCGTGTGGCCCCCGCCGCCTCGGCCACACCGAGTCTCTTCGAACATTGTGGAACCTCGACTGCACTTGTATCTCCCCGTATTTCCTCCGAGAACGATCAACACTCTTTCAGTGAGCAAACTGTGAACGGGGCTGTGGCAAGATGAGGAGGGGTGGGCGGCACCGGAGGGAAGCCGTGTCCCTTTGGGGTCGCCCTGCCCCTCTCCCTTGAGCTGGTGGTGTCCTCGGCCAGGGCCGGCCTGTGCGCAGAAGGGACGGGCGGCCCCGTGAGGCCACCGCCGTCCCGCGGGCCCCGCGCCCTCTGGCTTGGCTGACCCTCGGGGGGGTCCACAGGAAGCCCTCCGTCTCCAGCCAGGCTCGCACGCTGACCTTGCAAATTCAGCCACCGCTTTGAGCCCAAAATGGCAATCTCGGTTTTGTGTCCCAGACTTATTCCAAGGTGGTCCGGGAGGCTGACGGAGCCTCCGGAACCGACGTCATCTGCCTGAATGTTGACATGCCAGTGGACTGAGTCCTTGTTCCTTTCTCCTTCCTTGCCCTTGGACAGTGTTACAGTGAACACCTAGCATTCTGTTTTCGGTTGATAGTTAAGCAAACTGACTTTACAGAAAGTGCCTTAGACACTGCAGTACTAAGAACGTTACATCTATGATCTGCCTCTGTAACAATGTAATGTATGAGTTCTGACTGTGCTTCTTATCATGTACCTCTCTAGTCGAAGTGGTATTATAAACATTCAGTGACAACGAATCAGTGTTAATTATAAATCCTTGATCCTCGGCAACGTGCTTGAAAACACAAACCTTTTGGGTTAAAAGCTTTAACATCTGTTAGGGAGAATCTGTCATGTGGGTTTGGAATCTTTGGGTTTTCCCCCTTGATGAACTGCACTGGCTGTTGACCACCAGACACCTGACTGCAAATACCTTTTTTCTTGTATTCCCATATTTCTAGACAATGATTTTTGTAAGACAATAAATTTATTCATTATAGATATTTACGCCTGCTCTGGTTACTTGGAGGAAAAAGCACCCGTTGAGAATAAACAGACCTCAATAAACAAGAATAATCACGTGAACATGGAATCTGTCTTCTCACCTTCTGTTCTCGATGTTCCCACCTGTGGTCTGGTTGGAGGCTGGGAAGCCCCCAGACCGAAAATGCGGCCAGCCAGGCCCACGGTTTTGGAGGGCGCTGTGCTCTCAGAAACCGGCGGCTGCCAGGCTAGCTCTCTGGGTGGTCTTGGCTCTGAGTCCTGCTCTCGCGCTGGCCTCAGTGTGTAGATGGGGCGGGGGGGGCGGGGATAGGCTGGAACGAACACTAGGAAAATACACAATCCCATAGAGAATGTGGATTGATACATACATATATATATCGTATATATATATATACATACATATATTCCATGATATTCTCAGGCCAGGCTCCTTCTGCCTGGCCGTGGTGGGGACGTGAAAAAAAAAGTGCAGGATCGCGTTTCACGTGGCCTCACCCTGGCATTCAGCAAGTTACCCAGGGATCTGGAATTCAGAACCTTTTCTCAAAAAAGAATTCCTCCCCGTTGGCTCGTTTCACTGGTGTGACCATCCACATGGCTTCCCGACAGCTCAAGTGTCCTAGGCCAGCCTCGCTGGGAGAAACCTAAGCTACGTGGGCTGCTCGCAGTTCCAGATTCCACAAAGACGCTGACCAGAAGGAACCTTCCTTCACTCGACAAACCACTGCTTTGTCGTCCAAGGACGGCAGGTCATGAACCCTCGGCCGGGCACTGACAGCTGAGATCGAGTGGAGACGCGGCGACGCTGCGCTGGGGTTTCCCCGCCGCGGCCCACACCACGCACCCTGTCCGCCCTACCACGTCACAGGCGCTTTCCTGTCGAACGCAGACGCCCCGGGGGTGATTTTCATTTGCTTTAGTGGGAATAACGCACATTCCTAGCCGGGCTGACTGAGGGTCTCCTTCTGAACCCCTACCGTCAGAAAGACTAGAGCCCCGTCACCCATCTTCCCCATCCCTGGAAACCCCACCTTAGCCGCAGCGTCTGTGCTCTCTTGGCTCTGGGTCTCACCTGTGGCCCCTTCCTCCCGAAGCCAGTGTCGGCGGGACGCAGTTGTCCGTGTCGGGACCAGGGAAGCAGTGCTCATGGCTGTCGCGCTCCAGGAAACAGCACGCCCTGTCCGGGTGGAACCTGACTACCTCCCCCCAAACCAAAAGCCAAGCTGGAAGAGGCCACAGGACGGAGCCTTTAGGAACGTGGAGAGGCGGACATTGGCACGGAATGGCACGTGGTGATGTCATGTGACGCTATCAGACGAGGACACGGCGGGTCTGACGGAAACGGCCCATCACACACTACCGCCCTCTAAGCATCACCCCGCGCAGTTCTGGGATGCCCGTGTTCACACAGGGGTAAAATCTCGCACATCCCACAGTCGCCGTCAGAAGGGGCAACAGTGACATGGCTGTCCTTGCCGGACTCCCCCCGGTAAGGTCAAGAGCGCCCAACATGAGATCCTACAGAATGAGTATCGGCACCTTAGAAGAAACTTCTGGAGCTGACAGTGGAAGACGCTTTTCGGAAATGCTGCGCCCCAAGCACCCGCCACAGCCCAGAAGACAGAGTTTGGGAAAACAGAGACAACTCGGGGCCAAAACCGGTCAGAGCGTCGAATCACGGTGCGAGGTTGCAGGAATCTCTCTTACGTTTTACTTTTTATTTATGGAGTGTGATAGGGAAATCTGTCTAACGTCTAAAAAAGCTCTTTCAATAAATACAAAAAGTCTCAACGATAAGCATCTCCGTAGTTCTGACTGGCACGTTTTTTGTTTTCTTTTTTTAAAGATTTATTTATTTGAGAGAGTGAGAATGAATGAGAGAGAGAGAGAGAGAG